ATATAAGAAAATATTATATATTTATTCTTTTATAATAGCATCCCACCTTTATCTCTTCATATTATAGTAATGTACTTTAAAAAAATATTTTCCAAAGATCAAAATAGCAATACATTACATTTCTCGATTAACGTCAAAACATTTTCAATGCTTATATTAAACAACAAATTCCATTATATTTTTTATAGTAGATTTTTTAGATTTTTTTGATTAATAAAAGATCAATATGTTTTTCAGTTTTGCATGCTCTTCTCAAATCATAATTTCTTTATATAAATTTGTAAAATCAAAAATCATATTTATTTTTTATAAGTAATATTTTGATTGCGATCCATGAATTTTATTAATTTTCATTTACATAAAATATTGGTATGTGAAGAAATAACATATCAGAATTATTTTATTAACATACTTATATTGAATGATAATATGTAGACAATTAGTTATTTTTTTATAAAAATAAGATATTATAAATATTATATAATAAGTAACCTTAGAAATTATTACATTCAAATCGTATTTAAAAATGTTATGATGTAAACGTAAATATGATAATATTAATATTTAAAAATATTTATGATGATTTTACTTTTGTTATTTCTTCAGAAATATATTGGTGAAAACAAACCTCTTTCATCCGCCCATCAAACATTTTTCTAAAATTTTCTAAAATAATCATACACCTTTTTAATTCAACCGTGTATTGCAAGGGTGTATTACCTGATCATTCTAAAATTAAAGAAATTAATATGTCCTTAAGCCTTAGAATAGCAACATGCTTTCTAGATGTAAAAGTCAACATCATATCGAAATTGATGTTTAGTTTTAAATGAAGGGCAAAATAATCAGGCCAAATGAGGATTTTCTGGATCTCCACTTGGATGTTAAAGTGGATTAAAATTTGAATACAAAGAGAACATTGCCCACTTTCATGAAAAAGGAATACATAAAGAGCAATAGATAATCTACTACAATAGTCAAATCTTAAATATTCATTATGAAACAAACCTATAAAATCGTATATAAAATAGAGTAAAAGAGAAAGTATATTGCCTTTTCTTTCATTTAGCCTAATAAGGGCCTAAATCCAAAAAATAGCAATGTACTTTCTATATTAATATAGCGTTGTAGTTTCATTTCTTCCTATAACAATGTTGTAATGAAAAGGAATGAAAGAAAGATGTAATAATACACTATATAAGAAAGTAGAATTCTATTTTACGCATTCAACGCATTAAAATAGTATAGATGTATAGGATATTATAAAAAGTTAAAGAGAGTGCATTATACTTTCACTCCCTTAGTCTAGAATTTTTTTTTTCAGAACTGGTCCTAAAAGAATTCATTACAACTTTGATATGTCATGTTCCTCCCTACATAAAAGGACAAAAATTAGGAGTTGATACAAATGAATCAAGCAAATGGGTAACCTTTTTAAATTAAAAAAAAAAAAGTAAAATAAAGCAAAGGAGTTTAAATTTATAAATTGGATTTTATTTGACAACCGAACTAGTTAGGGAGAAATGAAAATGGGATGTTATAATAAACAAATCAATAAAAGTAGTATTTTTTGCATTTACATAAAAAGGCTAAATGCAAGAAACTCCTATAATGTAAGCATCACCATTGTCAATTGTCCTTTTAAGAGAATTTTTAGCTTTTGGAATCTCGAGTCCTTTCTGCATCTTTATCCTTGCACAAATCTAATGAATTGGACAAACGAGATTTGGACCAAGTATCCAACTATAGAATAATATGAAACTGAGATTAACAAAAGATTAATATATATGAAGCTATTGTATTAAACAGCCAGATGGAGAAATTTATGTTAATTAATGCAGATTAAGTTCATTTACATTTCATAAAGTAGTTTTTTGGTGTTCTTATGCATATTCGAAGCATAATTCTCATCATCTCAAGCTTGGGAAGCTCATCAACTCAATATTCAATAGCAGTCCAATACTAACATCAACACAATAAAAAATACACAAAATTTAATTTTTAAGGAAAAACAGGAAATCAAAAGATAAATAGATAGAAGAACAAATTAAAAGAGCAATGTACTTCAACTATTATAGCAATAAACTATGTTTTTTATCAATAATAGCAATGTACTTATATTATTTATTCAAATCCCATTTATCATTATCCATCTTCAGTCATAAAAAGATTAAATGTGTAAAATGTTGCCATGGTCGGATTTATCAGGCTTGCAAAAAATCCCCAGTTCTTTTTAATTTCTATTTTGGACAATTTTACCCTTAACATCTAAAAGTTTCCAAACCCCACTCTAAGTTAATCTGAAAAAACAATAGCCAATTATCAATAGAACAATTCTAAAAATTAAATTTGTATTATCCATGAAGATAATAAAAATCAATATTTTCCTTTGGTAATGACAAATTCTCCTTAATTTTCACATTTATGCCAATGTGGCCATATTTCATATCCAAGAGTTTAAACAAAAATTCTCCAAAATCAATATGGTCACAAAAATAGGATCATGATTAATCTTATTAAAGAGTCTCCCATTCCTCTATTTTCAAAGGTGGTTAAAAGAGGCATCAAGAAGAAAGTTGAGAATATCATTCTCAAGCTACTTGCTTTCAATCTTCCATGTACATTGCAAAAAGTTACTTTTAAAACACACAAATTCAATTTCCTTTTGCCCAACCTCTTTTGAGAAACCATAATCAAGTTGATTATTGCAAAAAAAAAAAAAAAAAAAAAAACCATAAAATCTCATTTATGAATTCCCAATTCCTAAGTCGGTCTTGAGTTTTTAACTGGCCTAAAATTGCAAGCCACAATATGAAATTGTGTCTTGATATGTTTAAATTAAACCATACCAAATCTGTCCAGCCCAATTTACCAATATGGTTCATTAACTTTAATTTCCTTCTAAACCGATTTTACTGAAAAAGTAATAAGAGTACCTGAGCCATTTCTCCACTAATTTTATCTTCAACCTTTTGTTGCAAGTTAGGATCTTGGAAAGAACCAAATCTATTCAACCCAATTTTCCAATTTGATCCAATTTATCCTTAAAAATCTAAAGGGGTATATAAAGAACCAAATATGTTCAACCAAATCTGTTTTTTCTTATCCTCCTCACTTTATCAAGAATCTCATGAAACTCAAAACCTCAAATTGACAATCTTATTTTTTGTATAAAGCGAAACTAAAATTGTAACACGGTACTTTTAAAACACAATTATGTATTGATAAAAATGAGGTTTTACAAAAGAAAACATATCAACAGATATAGAGCGAGTGAAAAGGATCATAAACCTTCTCTATCTCCTTGTTGCTTCTGTTATCCATGTGCCTCGTTTTTAGCTTCAATACTTGAGTACATAGCATTAACATATGTAAATCCAAAGACTCGTGAGCTACATGGGTTTTTGACTCTATAACATAATTCTATAAAACTTGAGGATCTGATAATTCCTTAGCAGGTCATGGTAGGATCAAGCATATAATTACACATATGATACTAGAACCGAGCTAGTTTAACCTTTATATCGCATAGCTAGCTTTAAACAAGATCCTAACATATATGCCTCCGATTTATAATCAGAATACAACTTTATTGCCTCCGACTTATAAATCGAATCTGGCTAGCCAACATAAAAGTTGGCCGCATAACATGGAAGAAACACATAATTCTGTGTCGTCAGGGTCTCATATGTGACACATTTTCATGTTACGGGATTTAGCATATGTGACACATTTTCCTGTCACAGGCTCCACCATCTATGTCACATTTTCTTATCATGGGCTGAAATAATGTTGATCATCTGCTTCCTAGTATCTCCTTTATGGAGTTCACTATATCCTCAATCACATAGAAGGCATCTTACACCTTCTTCACAATTAGCTTCTCCATGAAGCTTTCATCGAGCATTCACATATAACTTTTAACACAAATATACATATAAGATTTTTGTCAGCTAAATTTCTTTTAAACTTATAATAATTTCTTAGCTTAATTATATATCTTGTACTCATCATGGATTATTGTATAGTCTCAATTACATCTAACTCATTTCATGCCTTGTTCACAAATAGCTTTACATAAGCTTTTAGCATTCAAATGTACTACACTTATAGCTTTTCATGCATGCTTGTAGCTTTTCATAAGCTTTAAACACACTTATAGGCTTTCTGGCCAAGCAACTTTCCTCAAGCTAATAATATTTATACACATAAAGCTATTTGACACACACATATCAATAACTCAACTACATTGTTGCAGAGCTTAACCAAAGCTCTCGTCGATCAAGAATATAATATTATCGTGTTTATCAAACCATTGGCAATGCCCTTTTTAAAATTATTTTAACATTTGGCATGCTTTCTCCTTTCAAAATATCCCTTTTTATAAATCATGCAAACTATGACTTCATGCTTAAATCCTTTAGCATCAAGGCGTTATTGTATAATCAAGCATAGTCACACCTAGTGACTTATTCACATACTTTTCATGTAATACAAATGACTTTGCTATGTATCCAGAAAATCCGCATGTACTGACATGGCTAGTTAGTGATGACTAACTACTAGTTCGGCCTTATGCCCGACGCTCCTTTCCAGCCTACCGCTTATACGAACATATTCAGATAACATACCAGGTTCCTTAGAACTTACACATTATGCTATCAATTGCGCGCTATAGCGTTTTGCGGTGATCTACAACCGTTATTTTCAAGTTATCGTTTTCAAATCGCGGTACCGCAATTTACGCCGCAATTAACCGCAATTCACCGCTTTTCTCATGACCACGATAGCGGCGATATGGCCGCTTTTTTATTTTCTTGTATATTACAATTATTTTTATTACATTTGGCCCATTTGATTAATTTTTCAACAAAAAACAATTTTTAATGAGCCCGTTACTTGCATTTTAAAAAGCCCAATGAAAAACCTAATTAACATTATTCAAAGTACCTGATCCAAAAACGTGAACGTGACTTGAAGACTTGAAGAGGGCTTGAGCTATGACGAAGACGAAGAACACAGGTGCGACTGCGAGAGTGCGAGGCTGCTTCTTCCGAGTTCGGAGGACCTAACTTCTTAATTACTCGATCACGAAGAATTTGGTCTTCACTCTTCAGCCTTCACTACCCTTCAATCGACCTCCTCACCTCCACAGTCCATAGCATCGACTCCCTTCCCCTTAATCGGCTTCCAAGTTCCAACAGCATCAGGTATGTAATTTTTCCTTTAATTCTTCCAAGTTCTAACAGCATCAGCATCAACATCAACTCACTTGTATAGTTGTATAGCATTTCATCGAAACCTGTATGGGCAAAAGTTCCACTGCCCATTTATGTTTGTCAATTTGTGTACTCATGTAATGTAATCTGTTAAGATTTAGAAAATAGGAACATAAAACATTAATGAGTAATGACATGTGATTGTGAAACAGATTTAATCAATTGTGAATTGACCAATATGGATGGGAATTCTTCACATGCTTCTGTGAATCCGCCCACCACCACCACTCCTACTACTAATACTACATCAGATGCCAATACAACTAGTGTAAGTGCAAATAAAGATATGGCATGGGAATGGGGAGTTCAAAAGGATCCATTAAAAAAACAAAATATTTGTTGCACCTTGTGTGACAAGAGAGTATGTGGAGGGATCACAAGGTTAAAAGAACACCTCACTCATATAGGAGGAAATGTAGCTGCTTGCCCTAAGGTGACTACTGAGATCACCAAGAAAGTGCTTGAATCAATGAATGAAAAAGATAAGAAAAAAAAGGAAAGACAAAGAACAACAAAAATACTTAGATCAACAAGTTGTATAGACCTTTCTGAAAATGATGACGAGCAAGACGATACCCCATAACCACAAGTTAAAAAAAGAAAGTTTGTAAGTTCTAGTAATGTACGGGGTCCTATTGATGATGTTTATAAGTCGGACCATGGAAAAAGAAAGCAAACTACATTGGATAAGAATAATCCGATTAAAGAGAAGTTGAAGAAGGTAGCTTGGAAAAAGATTGCGGTTTGGGCTTATTCGGTAGGCTTACCTTTCAATGACGTACGTGATGAGGGTTTCAAAGATGCGATCAATGCCATTGGAGAATATGGAAGAGGTAATCAATTTTGTTACCTTTCTTATTTGATTAATGTTAAGTTGTTAACATTTTTATATTTACTAATTTTGTTAATTATATAAATGTTAGGTATGCCGGCTCCAAGTTATCATAATATGCGGGTGACATTGTTAAAGGACGTGTTAGAAGATACCTACAAGTTTGTGGATTCGTTTCGACCACAATGGAAGAAATTTGGATGTAGTATTATGTCTGATTTTTGGACAGATGGCAAGCATAGATCTTTGATTAATTTTTTAGTCAATTGTCCTACTGGTACGGTTTTTCTAAAGTCGATTGATGCATCGGAGCATATACATAATGCTGAATATATTGTGAAGAAGGTAAATGAGGTGGTAGCAGAAGTTGGAGAGGAAAACGTTGTGCAGGTAATATTTGTTTCTAATTAGTTATTAGTTATTACTTTTTAAAAAAATTATATCCATTTTATTAATTAAGTTCTTTTTATTTCTTATAGTTTATTACAGACAACGGTTCAAACTACAAAGCTGCAGGAAAGATTTTGGAAGAACAACATCCAAAATTATTTTGGACTCCATGTGCAGCACACTGTGTGAATCTCATTGTACAAGATATTAGGAAGAAAGAAGCAACAATCGCGACCGCTTTGACTAAAGCAAGAGCTATTGTGGTTTATATTTATAACCATGGAAGGATTCTCAATATGATGAGAAAGTTGACAAAGAATAGAGAGTTGCACAGGTCTTGTGTAACTAGATTTGCTACCCAGTTTTACACCTTACAGAGTGTTCATGAGAATCGACACCATCTCCAAGTGTTGTTTGTATCTGAGCAATGGAGAAAAAGTGACTTTGCAAAGAAAGCTCCTGGAAAGAGAGTTGAGAAGATAGTAGCAAAGCAATCTTTTTGGGATGGTGTATATTTAGCTTGCCAAATATATGCTCCATTGGTGGATATTGTTCGTTTGGTTGACACAGAAGAAAGACCGTGCATGGGATACATCTATGATGCGATGAGTCGAGCGCAAGATCAAATAAGCAAAAATCTAAATGATGGGAATAATGATAAAAAAAGATTGGCAGGTAGAATTTTGTCTATCATTCAAACAAGATGTAACGACCAACTTCTTCATCCCTTACATTCAGGTATAAATCTTTTACTTATTAGTTATTAATTTTATTTAAAATAGTATGCAATTATTTGGTTTTAACGTTTTAGTGAATGACTTAATGTACAACTGGGTGTTTTCTTAATCCTGCAATTTTTCATGGAGATAAGTCAAAGGAATATGAGGCCAATAAACAGATTATGACGGGACTTTATGTTGCTATTGACCGTCTTGTTCCCGATGAAGATGAAAATGATACTTTGAGACAAGAATTGAATCTCTACATTGATTTAAGTGGACAATTTGGATCCCCAGCTGCTAAAAGGAGTATGACAAAAGTTGCACCGTGTTAGTATAAAAATTATAATGTAATCAAAAGTTTTTATTTCTTAATTTTTATTAACTTAGGAACTTTTTTTTGTAAAATGTAGATATATGGTGGCGTTCTTATGGGATAGATACACCTATCTTACGAAAGTTTGCTATCACGGTTCTTAGTCAAACTTGTAATGCTTCACCTTGTGAACGAAATTTGAGTACATTTGACAATGCAAGTTTTTTTTACTTATTTTTAACAAGTATTTTTATAATTATAATTTATAAATGATATTAGCTTGATTGGAACTTCTAACATATTAACTAAACTATTTTAATACTTTTGTTGCAGCTACATTCTAAGAAAAGAAATTGTCTTTTGCAACAAAAATTAAATGATCTTGTATTCATCCAATACAACACAAGGTTGCAAAAGCGCTTCATGTCTTTACAAAACAAATCTTTCGATCCTATTTTGCTACGAGATGTTGAAGAGAATGATGACCGGACAATACCAACGGAAGATGAGCTGCAAGACTTTGTGGATGGTGGTGATGACCTTCTTTGGTCAGATGTGCAAGAAGCAATGGGAGCGAATGTAGACGCTCAACCAAATATTAGGAGCAAACGAGAGCGTTATAGAGACGATGATGGTGATGATATTAGAGATGTGGGGAACGATCTTGATGAAGAAGTGAATGCCTTGGATGACGTTGACTCGGAAGCCGAACAAGTGCCATGCGATTAAACTATATTTGACACTTTGACAATTGACACTACGTAGTTTCTATATTACTGTATTAGAATTTTGAATATTATGTTATGTTTTTCTATGAATTTTTAGGTTTTATGATATTAATTCTATATAGACTTATTAGATTTTATGATATTAATTCTAAATATAATATAAAAATATTAAATTATATGTAATATTAAAAAAACCGCTATAGCACCGCTATACCACCGCGAAAACCGCGATTTCAAATAGCGGCCTATGACCGCTATCGAAATTTTGACCGCGATAATTGCATAGCTTACACATACTTATTATCACACCTTCTATAACGGTCCTTTATTTGACCATTAACTGAATCTGGTAACCATTTGTTACCCGACTCATCGAGTCTCGTAATACAACGGCTAAACATCTTAACTCTATAAATTGTTCGTTTGATTACTAACTTCTAGTCATCCCGTAACTGGGGGTTTATAATCTTTGTTAACCGGGTTAAGAATTCACACCGTGGAATTAAAGTATCCAATGTGTTGTTGAGTCTATAACAACACCATATTATAGACCCAACAATCCAACTCGGGTTCTAGCCTCGTTTTATAATCACGACATCATGAATAACGAATCAAATAACTAAATATCGAAACAAACGATTAAACCTCGCGTCAATATCGATTATTGTATACCGACATTAATACGTACTTTCGTTCACTATATAACGCTACGTAAGCGTACAAAGTACAACGAATGACAGATGAAAGCTATTTATAGGCTGACTGGTCGGTCGACGCGTCGCGCCTTTCGTAAGGCGCGTCGCGCCCAATGCCAACTGATGTTTCTGGTGTTGCTACGTGTCTTCTCCGATTGACACATATTTTTCGTGATTCAGCACTTTTAAGGCGTGCAGACTACAACGAATGACAGACGAAAGCTATTTATACTGGTCGGTCGACGCATCATGCCTTTCGTAAGGCGCGTCGCGCCCAATGCCAACTGATGTTTCTGGTGATGCCACGTGTCTTCTCCGATTGACACATATTTTTCGTGATTCATCACTTTTAAGAGGCGCCCTGCGCTTTTCCGATTTTCTAACTTTTTCTCGAATATGAGTGTACTTTTGGAACGGCCATAACTTTCTTATACATACTCCGATTTTGACGAACTTTATATCCGCAGAATTGTCTCCGAGAGAACTACAACTTTCCTTTAATAATCATTTACTAATATCCTTTACATTTTTCTAATAATCCTTTTCTTAAGAAGTAACGATTTTCCAGTCTACGAAAATCCCAACAATCTACTTTCTAAAGACATTAAAAAAACACTCGGAAGAGATCGCTAATAAGAAAAATATGTGCAGGAGAAGATGGATAAAATCACAGAATTAGGGATGGAGAAGATGGAAGAAATATTTGCGCATGAGCTTAAGGAAGAAGAACATGTGGAAGAAATGGAGATGGAGAGGATAATGATCTGGAAGCGTGACCGAAATTCGTGCAACACTAGGGTTTATGGACAGGGGAAAATAAAAGGAGAAAAGTAACGATTATTGCGGTAATAAGTAATTTAAATAGTTAAAGGGTAGATAAGTAATTTAACTTTTATGTGAAATAGACGGAATGAGATGTCCCGTGGCACAAAATTGAATCTTTTATTAGGTTAGGAAGATTTTCTATGAATTTATTAACATCCAACATTTTTAATGATGGTTTTTTCAAAAGTTTTTTTTTTCTTTTTGAAAAAGTTTTAGAAAACGTTTTTGCCATTGAAAGGTTAGCTATTTCTAGGGGTTAACCCAACTATTAATTATTAACTAAGTGGTTATTCGAATAGTATTTATTTATAAATTATACAATTGCTTTATAATGATGTTCTAGCCATGATATTTGCAGGAAGAATTTTCGGATCGTTATAAACAGTCGGAGGTGGTAAACCTCTAACTAGAAACATATGTGCATTGTTTTTGCTAAGGGAAACTGTTTTTACAACAAATGAAGCTACCTGGGAAGACTTCGATAAGATGGAGAAACCGAGAAACAATTCCCAAGTTTTCACCTTGGGGACAAGGTGAAAGTTTGGACGGAGGATAATGATATGCCCCAACAATTCTTGGTATATCAAAGAAAAAGGAAACGCATGGCCCAACAGAAGAATGGCCCAAATAACTAAGATCCTCTGAAGAATTGTCTTTATTTATTAGTATTTGCTTTTATATTATGTTCTAGCCATGAAGGACAATTTTGAGTGGGGGCACAACATCTTTATGGTATGTGGTGCTTTTGTGAGTTTGTCCTTAGTCCTTCCTAGAAGGTATATCTATCTATCTTAATTTTAGTGAAGGGTACGAACAAAGTATTGTAAAAGTTTTCCTTAGAACAAGGAGAGTCCCCGCTCTCGAATATGGGGTTTTCTTATTGAATATTCAACATCTTTATTAGTTTTCTATCTTTATTGTTTCATTATTCCCAGTTGGGGCATTGACACATTGTTAGTTGTTCTTGAGCTTCAGGTAGGTTGGAACTAATCAATGGAGAAAGTTTTTGAAACCGTACTTGGTGACTACATCCAGCTTTCTTCTCAACCTTTACCAACAATTACATGGTTTTTGGGCATTCCCGAACTCCTCACCAAGGAAAAAGAACTTTTTATGAAACAAATCCTTGCTCCTCTTTCTTCTGAAAAAAAATCAACATATAATGGAGAAAACGGTGGTGATGCGATGGTGCAATCATGCGGTGGTGGTGCGTACCCAAGTAGGTGGTCCGTTTCTATGCTGGTGGTTCGATGGTGGCAGGCGTAAACAATAGTGGTGAATGGTCTTAGAGTTTTCTGACTAACATCATATCAACCAAGGAGACGAGGTAAGCAAAACCAAACCGATAAAAATCGAAAAGACTGTAATAACCGGTGCGGTTTTTAATTTAGCAAAACTGAAGCTTATCAGTTCGTTGTGATTTTCAATTTGGCAAAAACCGATTCTCACTCACCGAATCACACCAATTGTATTTAAAATAATAATTTATTAAATTATATTATATAAATATTATTAAATGCACTAATAATTTATATAATAAAATACTTTGGCTTGGAAGTGTTTCACCGTTTCAAACATTCAATTCAATCAAAATTCAAGAAGTAAAACGTCTATGTATTGAACATTAGTTGTAAAATTGTTATAATATCTCGTTTCCATTTATTGTAATAACATAAAGTTTCAATTATCAAATTAACATAACTCACGGTGGGTATTTGGTGTAGAAACAATAGTATAACAAAATCAACGTATTAACTAGTTTATGGTTCGGTTTAGTCCTAAAACAACACCAAACCATACTATGCACACCCCTAAGGTCGAGGGGGTGGTGTTGGACCAACCGAGCCCCACATAAACCTTCTCCGCCTCTAATCCTCTCTCATTTTGCCGAACAAGATGTCAAAAAGAGGGAATGGAAGAAGAAAAAGAAGAAGAGAGAGGAGAAAATGTATGTGTGAGATCATATATACTTAGCAGAAACCTACCGAATTATAGCACTGAGCTCGACATGCCGAGCTGATGACACGGTGTTTACCAGGCTGACTTAGCTCTATGGAGGCAATTCCAAGCCTCACTCCGCATATCCTAATAGAAACAAATGCTCGGTCGAATATCATAACCAAAACCCGATATACTTTTATTTATTATTTTCCTGACAAAATACAAGTTATTCTTTGTGCAATATTAAACTATATATCAAAATGAAATGCAAAATAGATTATGAACCAAGATAAAAATGGGCCAATAAAATTTGAAAGGACCAATCAATAGTTATGTGTCTTTGGGATGGGCCAATGTACTCACAAGTCACGCAACTAACTTACAATGCATAGATTTTGGAACGGACCAAGAAGGCGACAGAGGTATGGGCTCAGTCTTTTGGAATCTAAACTAGTATTAATTAAAAAACAAAAAGGTATACGTTTATATATATATATATATATATATATATATATATATATATATATATATATATATATATATTACTTTATTTATCATGGATTTTTTTTATTAAAATGTTATATTCTAAAAAATCTATTTTCTTATACGATTGTATTTTTAGTATTTTTAGTTAGAACATTAACAACAATTAATAGGCAAAACAGATATATTATTTCTGTAATATCAGTTTTCAATAATATTAATTTTACAGAAAAAATATATATCACAAACCTTCTCAAATAAATAAACTCTTTTGAATTTTTTTCTTAAATAGCTATTTTTTATTATCTATTTTAAATACTTTATAGTTTTTTTATTTATGATTATTTAAGCATGAGAAATACTACTTGATTGCTTTATAAAATATATGTTACATAAAGCATATTTAATTTTTTTTATTTTTAATAAAATATATAGGCTAATTAAAAATAATTATTATTTAATATATGATTACATTTTATATATAAAACTAGATATTAACAAATGCCAGACAGGATATATAAAAATATAGAATAGTAATAACCTATTACTAAGCCCTTGCCGGTAAACTTAAAAAGACGACACTATCTAAATGTTAGAAAGCTTTTTAATAGAACAATTAAATATTCATCTATTTTTGTTGCTATTAATTTTATTACTCATTAGAGCACAACAAATATCAAAATTCGAAGAGAAGATTAAGAGAAAATTTTAATTAGATTACGAAAATTTGAATTGACTCCTTATTTTTTTTCTACTTAATCTCCTACTCATATAAGATTATATCATATAAGATTATAACATTTGTATAATATTATTTCTTTCTCTCTTATTCTTCTCTTTGGCTTTTGACATTTATAATAAAAATTAATTAAACTTTCATAATAAAAACTCATAACTACTAAGGGCGTGTTTGACACGGAGATTTTGGAAGCGTTTGAGAGCTTTTAGCTTTTAACTTTTGACAAAACGTTCAAGTTTAAACAAAAAAGTTTCGTTTGAGCTCAAATTGTAAAAGCTACTTCATGTAGCGTTTAACAAAACGCTACTGAGCTTTTGAAATTAATTTCCATAATTACCTTTAAAAATATATTTATATATTTATTTATTTTTTAT